CCTTTTTTTTTTCTTTTTTTTTTTTTTTTTTTTAATAATATAGTGGACTGTGGGGCCCTGGAAATGCTTCATTGGTGGGAAAGCCCTTTTGTTACTGAAATGTGAAATGTAGGATTTGATACTGGTACACTTTCTTAATGAAGAAGAAAGTAAAATAAATATGCAGATTTAAATTGTTACAAAGGAATAGTCATTATGAGCAGTTAATTTAGCCATTTGGCACACTAGTCTGAGATTAGTAAGGTAATTCGTTGTTTCTTTAAAAAATACTTCAGATGATATTACAGGAGATTTGGGGATTTTTTTTTTTAGTTTCTTTTTTATAAATAGCTTTACTAGCATGTAGTAGTAAATAATATTTACAGTGGCTGCTGAACAGGAGAGCTGGAGAATTTAAGTTGTACACACAAAGCATGAATGTCACTTGGAGGTGCTATAGCGGGTGACAAAATTAAGACAAAAATAAGAATAATTAAGATAACAAGAGCTTTAATTCTATGAAAGTAAGATTTCCAAAGCCTGCCTCCTTCACTTACAGGGTCACTGAGAAACACACCAGCTTACATGCAAAGTGGTCTAATATTTTACAGATAAATTACAATAATTAAAAAGAAACATACTGCTGTTACGTTTCAAACAGTGTTTGTATATCAAAATTATCCACAATTTTAACTTGCTTTCTAGAAATTAAGTAGATTTCAATTTGATGGTATCTTTCTAAGCAATCTGTAGTTCTTCTGAAAAAATTCTTCTGAAAGTCTAATTCTGTATATTAAATACTTGTTAGTAGTGGAGTCTGTGGGAGTTAAAATTATTTTGACCTTCTCCTGGTGGTAGTCCTTTTTTTTTAACTTCCCCTCAAAAAACCCACAACAAATATATGTATTAAGGCCAGAACATAGTGAAACTAAGAGGGTTTTTTTTCCTCTGACATTTAATATTCATTTTTGTCTGTAATAAAATAAAAATGAAATTTTAGAAAATAATGAAATGTTAAGCTCTTATGAAGATACTTATGTTTGAATAGATAGCTGGCATTTAATTTGCTTAACTGGTCTTGGATGGGTTTTGAATGATGTCTGTGTGCTAAACTGTTATACTTTCTTCACTTTTTTTACCTGGGTATCTGTTTGGAGTATTTGGGCTTTGTTTCATCCTCATCCTGTTAAACAGAAAATTTAGCAATATTGATCTAAGCCAAACGTTTGCAAACTGAAGAGAAGCTCTTACCAAAATGTCATGCATGTGTTAGGTGATGATACTGTTTTCCAGTTCATGCTGCACATAAGCTTTTTAGGGAGCAAGTGGAAGAAAAAGTCCTGGCTCTTACAAGAGTCTGCACGCTGATGAGGGCTACTGCTGCCAAGCAGTAGCTGTGAGCTACTCTGAGGCCTTCAGGAATAGCTGACCCCAGGTTTGAGATGTGTGGTGAGAGGTATGTGTGCAGTGAAGGATTGGGGAAGCAGAAGGTGACATGGGAGTGAGTCCTGATTGTGCTAATGAAAGGCGTGAAGGTTCTGTTGCAAAGAGTGCAGAAGAGGGGTGGGATTGCAATCCTGATTTGGGAATTGGTCTGTGTGCATGTCTTGGAAACCGAGGAGCTGCTGTTTATCCTGCAATTGGTATTGCCTGCTACGTTACTATAGTCAGTGTGATCTTTAAGAAAACTAAGTTTGGAAACTCCCAGCCTAAATGATTCTTTCACGTTGAACTACAGCCAATTGTATATTGATTTTTTGAACACTGACCATCTAACATTTTTAATTTTTGTAGATGGGCGGTTTCCTCTGTTATGACACGGCAGAACCAGATTCCAACAGAAGATGGTTCCAGAGTTACATTGGCTCTAATACCTTTATGGGACATGTGTAATCATACTAATGGACTGGTAAGGATTTCTTCAGTATTGCTGAAAGGCTTTAGGGCTTAAGTGTTAAGCCCGTCAACTGCCGTAGAACAGTTTAATAACACTTTTCATTATGCTTCTTAACACAGGAATTTTGTCTTCCCAAGTGACCCTAAAAACCTAATACATGAAAGAAAGATGTCAGTTTCTTAAATGTCTTATGATAGCTTTTCAGGGAGAACTTATTTCATCTAGAGAAAACTTGAGAAGAAATTGGATACTTGCATTGAATTATGTCTCATATACATATAATGTACCTTTAAAAGTTGTCAGTTACATGATACCTTCTTTACAGCCAAGTTTGAATATTCTTCTGACATGGAGTTTTGTTTCTGACAGGCTGAAAAAGACTCAGAATTCTGGATAGATTTGTTCTGAGAATAGGAAAGCAGACAATGATGGAGGTTGCCTTTTGTACCTACCACTAGGGAAAGTGGTTAGAAATTTGCAACTAAGAAATACTGCCTGATCTCCTTACCATGCCCAAAGAGCCTTGTTACAGAGACAGCAACAACAAGAACAAAGCCTAGTTCAACAAAAACAGTACATCTGTTACTACATCAAAGAAACAAAATGCAAAAATACTACTTTAGGGCATATTAAACATTTAAAAGGTGACATATGTATATAGAAAGTCAGACCTGCTGACATTTTGGCTTACGTGAGCTAGTTCAGAGGATTAGGTCTTGATTTCATTAAAGACTAGTTAATGTTGAAGTGAGGAAATGGAAACCCATAAGAGAAGGGACTATCAGTATTATTCAGCCTCATGTGTTTTGTCTCATGTACGTTTCAGAATTCATACCCTCTAATTGTGTTATCCAGTAGATAGTATTATTTATTGTAAGCAGTGAATGTGATCATACTAGTCAAGTAATCTTTTTTTTCTGTGCTAGAGTTGACCAAAGTATTGGGACAGCAGCATGTGTTAGTATTGTTGGTATAAGAAAAGCCTGGTTTAAATTAACAAATTGTAAAGCAAGTTGCTTTTCACTTGACATTTAGCTAATTTATTGTTACTATGACTGTACCAAATACAGCATGGTAGGCTATGCTACAGAGTTGCAAGTGTTTGGGGTTTTTTATTTGTTTATTTTTGCTTATTAAAAGGTGATTACATGTTGTTCTTTAACAATGATTCATGCCTTTCACTATTTGTTATGCAATCTTATAACTTTGATTTAGCAATAAAGCTTGTGTGAGAGTCTCCAATATAAAGAAAACTGCTTAAAATTCAGAAATGTGTATTTTTGTAATATAAGTCTTAGCTGCAAGCATCAGTACTTCCTGTACCCTTTTCCTGCTGGGCATCTCTTTCAGATGCTTTTGCAGAGACTTGTCTGTATTCATTAGACAGCTCTTAATGAATGCCTTCAAAGTTGGGATTAGAGGAAAGAGGAAGAGAATTAAAGTTCTGGGAGGGAAAAAATTAAGTATCCTATATTAAAAGAGCAGCTAGTTATGTTGTTTTAAACATTCAAACTTCTATTTAAATTGATAAAGTAATTTTTATTTTTATTATGCTCTTTAACAATGGGTTTGATATGGAGCCAGCCTCTGGAGCCAAACCTGCTAATGCAGTAGTATATCAGGGTTGGAAACATGTTTTTTTTTTTTACGCTGAAGTGTATCCTAAAGGGCAGGGGGTGGTGTGTGTGTGTGTGTGATTCTGCAATTAAATATTTTGTATGTATATGCAGACTTCACTCATCTGTTTCATATTTCTACAGAAAATAGTTTAAGTGGTTATAGATTTAGGAAGGATAGACAACTGTAATATTGATGATGGGCTAAGAAAAGCTACTGAACCTATTTCTGTTGTGTGTTAGCTTCCTTGTAGAAATAGGGGAAAAAAATGCTAAGATAACTGTAAGCTGCTAAGATAACTGTAAGCTGTCTGTATTGTAGTTTATATTATTGTAGAGTGAGATGAGGGTGGGTTCTGCTCTAATCATAACACATCCCTTTAAAATACATGAAGACAATTGTTCTTCATTGCAGGAAAGTAAGAAACAAAAAATGTCATTGTATGCGCCTCTGTTTAGTCTATTCCAAATGCAGGGTTGAAGTACTTCTTGAGTCAATCAGCTACTCTATATCCCTGTTCTTGCTTTATTCCACAGGGCCCTTTTCTATGAGCTAGATGATAAAATGCTCTTTGGGTTTTAACTGGAGCTAGGTCCATCCAGCTTTTTCTTGCTTCTGACACTATTAATTAGATCAACCTGCCTCTAAGAACTATATCAAAATGGTTGTCTTCATGCATTTCTCATTGTTATTCTTTAGTGAGATTGTATTATGACAGTCAGAGGTTGATTACCAGTTCTGACAGAGCTTTGAATAAGCTATGTTCTGCCTGTTGGGCTGGGTCCATCCTTAATCACTGACCAAGCGGACTATTGCATGCTTTATACACAACTTGAAATTCATGTATCAGTCTGCTTCAGAAATAAAACTGAAGGGATGCAATTTGTCAGTTATCATGTGGGAAGAGAAGTAAACACCCTGTTAATTCTCTTACATGACTGCTATTAAAAGAAAGAGGAAATAGGAGTCTAGCACTCCATTATGCTTTATAGAAAAGCCTTTCAAAATTGCTGCTTTTTTTTTTTTTTTTTTTTTAAGGCAAAAATAAAAAACAATACCAAAAATGAGCAGTACTCTAGGGAAGCATGCTTAAACTGACAGAATTCTCCTAACATACTGGAATTTCCCCAGTCCTTGAAAGCCTCCTGCTCCACAGGCATTTCAAGAGACTGGAATGGACTTTTCACATTCAGAAGTATTTAGCTGAGTTTACACACTAAGAACATTTCAGGACAGGTCAAGTGCTGTCAAGAGCTCCCTTTTTTTGAATGGAAATAACATTTTTTCAGAAGATGACTATATGAACTTGGAAGGTGCATTTGTCATAGCAAAGATAAATCCTCTAGCACTTCTAACCTGTAATTCAGGGTTAGATAACCTCCTAAAGGAGAGACCTTAATAATTGTTCAGTCCGGCATAGTGAACATACAGGAATTTCTGTGTTCAAGTACTACAGCCTGTGTTTTGCAATAGGCCATATTGCATGATTCTCCTGTTCTCTTCTGATCTCAACATACCGCAAACCCATTAACAGAGCTGAAGTGGTGGCATCCGCATGCAGAGCAGGTCTGCGAGCCTCTGCAGGGCCAGGCTGCCCGTGCTTGGGGCTGCTGTTTTGGATTTGCTGCATCAGACACAAGTTCCCCATGCTCACTTTGAAAGCACTGTTTTGGCTGACAAATGCATGCTTGATGATGCAAGCAGCATAAAAGTATTAACGTTTAAACCATCAACCAAGCTTTCAAAATAATCCATGGAGTCCTGTCTTTGGACAAACTGCATCCAAGGTGGGAATAAGGGTATATCACAACTCAGGTGTCAGCTTACAAACAAGTGTGTTTTCATTTAGAAAGGCTGAGAGAGAATCTTTGGCTTCTAGGTTTTTCCTCAGGTCCAGAGCACATTTTTCAGTGTTAGGTCTGTCAGTACTGTGCTCAGAATACCTACCATAAAAGTTGCTTCCTGAGCGTTCAGCAGTTTGTTCCATCCTGTGGCTGCATCAGTGGCTGCATCTTTGGTAATACTACTCAAGAACACACTGTCACTTTAAAAAAGTATTATGTTTTTATGGTAACTTTACTTGTTTGTGTGACTGCTTTACAGTTTTGTAATTTTTTTTAAAGAAGTACAGGTTTGTTAAGGAAGTTTATCCTCTTCCATTGCTACCATCAAAAAAAAAAAATCCATTTAGCATTTTAAGAGTATTACTTAACTTTAGATAAAGGGATTATTTGCAAGTAAATTATAATTCTCTGAAGATTGTATCCCCTAAAGATCCAGTTATCTAATCCTTTTTCATTGAGAGATCAAAAATGTGCTGGCAGTTGAAGGATAAAGCACAGCATATAGAGCTGTCAGTGCCTTGCTCCCTTGGGCCTCATGGGAGTGACTGAAAGCTCCAGAACTTTATAACAAGCTGCTGGCTTTAGCATGGGACTGTCTGTGGTCTATGGAGGGTACTTTCCTCAGAGCCTTCTGTTCACTTCAGGTAAGTTATTTCCTCCATTAGATTTCTTTAATGCAGAGAATTTTTAAAAAGATATTGCTCGGGAAGCGTAAAACAATCACTACCAGCTATATTATATTGTGCAGCAAAAGAAATATATGCAATTGCTGTTGTTAATATCTGTTTCCATTAGGACAACGTTTTGTCAGTGGTGGGAGAGATTAATAGAAAATGCTAAATGTGCTTTCGTTACTCTTTCTATGGATAGATCACTACAGGCTACAATTTAGAAGATGACCGGTGTGAATGTGTAGCGCTTCAGGATTTCAAGGCTGGAGAACAGGTAGCATGAACAGTTATCTACATAAATATTCTTTAATTAAGTTTTGTGGACACTTGGTAACTCCCTACAAAATTTTAATAGCAGAGTGGTGAGGATGAAGCCTTGCTACATTTGAATTTTATGCTGAGCTAATTTTGTGTGAAAATACTACCAAACTAAGTATGTGCATATTTTTCAGGATATTTTCTGTCACTTGGTAGACCCCAACTTTAGGAGAGTTTTGATTCCTCATATTTTAGAGAACTAGTTGAAATGTTTAATCACTGGTAAATGCACATGCACAGACAGTGAGTTTGGTATTTTGGATGAGATTAATAAAAAGCCATAACCAGAGATAAATATATTTTAGATTTGGGGTGTCACTGTCCGCAGTAACAAATTCTAGAGTCTTTCTTAATGTTATTGGTTTATGTTTCTTGTTAGTCTTCATTTAACAAGGGGTTAAATGCAGTATAGTTGCCATTTTGACATTGCCATTGTCATTTTAACCCTTGTCATTCCCAAACTTAGTGAAAATGTGAAAGGACTTCAAAATATACTCCCTCCCTTTCACGCAGGCATGTATGCAGGTACATACCCCTTCATCTTGAAACAGAATGTAGCACCAGAGTCTTGCAAAGACACATGGAATAGTTCAGAATCCAGTATTTTGTTCAGAACTGCTAAGAAACAAAAATTAGTGTTAGAACTAGTGATGCATTGAAGACAGTGGTTCCAGGAGTGTAGGAAGTCTTTGGTAGAAGGGTTCCTGTGCTGTGTCAGCAGCCAGACAAAGCCCTCAAGTGTAGTAGCACTCCATTTTTCCTACTCCTTGTGCAGCTGCAGTCAGCATGGCCAGAAAAACACATGAAACATCCTGAAATGATTTGTATCTCAGTCTCTGAGTTATTACCTTCAGTATATTATTTTGCCAGTCTTACACTTTATATTTTGATTTTCATTTTTCTTGCATATTGTTATCTTCTTTTTTAACAAAGATGTGTCTGAAAAAAATTTTTAAGTATGTCTTTCCAGAGGTGTATTTATCCTCATTGCTATGCTGGGGTTTACAGTGTTTGTGTATTTTTTGTGTTGATCTTAGAATTTGTTATGGTAGTCAAATATTTGCTGTTTTTTCCAATACCAGTATGATGAGTTAAGAGGTCCACAGTTTTTCCAGAAGTGATCCAATTTATAATTTTCCACAGCTGGCAATGGATGTGTCATATAGCTGTTCTGGCTGCTCCCTCTATTTCAATTTTATTTTAGTAATTTCACTTTGTATGCTATTTGTCAGATTTTTTTAAAATATCTGTGCAAACTTTAACTGTTATTGACATTATTAAAGCACTTTAATTATATAATGCTTCAGTCTTTTAATATACTGTGCAGATATTATTTCTTACAGTTGCAGCAGGAAGAGTGTATGATCCCTTCGTTTACTACTAAAAAATGTGAGGCAGCAGAAGTCCGCAGAATCTATCAAACACTGGCCTTCAATAAAAGAGCTTTCTCATTCTGTTTGTTGGCCAGTCTTAGAGTGTAAGAGCATACTGTGTAATCTACACATGATAGTTTAATGTGAGATGTATCACAGTAGTTTCGAAACTTGAGAGGGTTAGCAACTCTCTCCTTAACCGCTGCCTTAACATATCTCGGCATGTAATTTGCTCATTATACAAGCGTGTTACAGTATGTTTCCTATAATTTAATATCACTCTTAAGCATTTAGTGCTTAGAATAAATAATACTAATCTAAAATTGAAAATAAAGCAGTAAAGGACATCATTACTGTTGTTGAGCCCTTAGAACACTGTGCCTTGCTGTGTCAGATAGAGAGGAATGGAAGCTTACAGGTATCCAGAGCATTGCTGTAGCCTAAGGTTAAGAAGAGAGTTCTGTCACTGTTGAAACTTTTTCTGATTGACAATTCTGTTATCAAACAAAAGGCAAAAATATCCTCTTGGTAAAGGAGAAGACAACTGCTACTCTGACCTATTGTCCCATGTACCTCATACAGCCTAGTCCTGAATTAAACACTTTTTGCAGGTTTTATTTAGGGACTTTGTTTTTAATGTGACTTAAAGTAACCTCTGTGCTTTAGATAGAGAGTTCAGAGTATAACACAAAAATAAATACTGGCTGAACACAGATCAGATATCTCTGTATTATATACTGGTATATGCTTGCCTTAAGGTAACATTAAAACAAAGGCAAAGTTGATCCATCACCAGTGTAGGTTGCTCTTTTGGGAGGACATATGGGGGGAAAATGACCCCAGAAACACCATTTCTTTTAATGGGCCCTTTTTGTCTCAGATTTTTTAGCCTTTAAAAAGCATAGGAACTTTGAAAGCTTTTTTCCATATACTGATATTTTATGACAGTGTGAGAAAACAAAGTGCTTGTTTGTTTGTTTGGGGGTTTTTTAAGTATAGAGTAAGAACCTCTTTTCTCCTTTTAAAGTCTCTCAGTTACATGGATATGTTTACATCTAACTTTAAAGTATATTGCTACACTATATACAGCATTTGAATCGATACCAGAAAACAAAGTGGTTTTTTTAATCAAATATACCTTGTACTCAGTAACTCTTTCAGGAAATAACTTTCAAATTATGTCAGTTTTGTGAGCTGATCTTAAGCTTTTTTCCTGTCCCTTCACTTTTCTTTTCATCCTTCTAGATTTACATTTTTTATGGCACTCGGTCAAACGCTGAATTTGTGATCCACAGTGGTTTTTTCTTTGATAATAATTCACATGACAGAGTGAAAATAAAGCTTGGCGTGAGTAAAAGTGACAGGCTGTATGCTATGAAGGCAGAGGTCTTAGCTCGTGCTGGTATCCCAACGTAAGTAAAACACAATGCCATGGCTTTTTAAAAACACTTCAGAAGTATATAGTGTCCAGTAGACCATATATAAAGCTGTTCTATGATAATTTTCTTAGGTGTAATATTTCTCCTGTTTGTATAGCAAATTAAAGTTATTGTAATAATATTAACAGAAGTTCTCTGAGGTATATTATCATCTAATTTAGAACATATATAAGGAAAAAAGCCTTTGCTTTAATAACCATTTGAACAAAAACAGAGCAAGGATTAATTTGAAGCAATCTGTGGTTTTTCTTTCTTTCCTATCCCTTGCAGACATACTATGATGCTCAGTATGTGAACCACAGCATTTTCCTTTAGTCTTTTCAGTCCAGAGGGTACTGTTAGGAGCAGCAGACGTGAAACATTGCATTTTCATGAATTTATTAAGAAAGTCATATAAAACTAATTGTAACTGTAAAAATTATATAGATAATTGTTCTTTTCAGATATAGATTAGGGAAGCTTTTCTTCAGTTTAAACTAGTACTACCAAATTTTTTTAAAGTTACTTTTGTCACAGTGCATTTGTTGTATACTTGAAGGTCTTCTATGTTGAAATATGTTCAAAGGTATGACAATAGAACTTGCATTTACTGTTACTGTTTGTTTCTTTTATTAGTTCTAGTGTTTTTGCTTTGCATGCCACTGAGCCTCCAATCTCTGCCCAGCTTTTGGCTTTCCTTCGAGTGTTTTGTATGAGTGAAGGTAAGATGTTTTATAAAGATAACCTAATTTATGTCTGTTGCGGGGGGACAAGGGGGTGTTTGGGTTTTTTAAATGCAGGAATGTGATAGACATTTATATAAAACATTACCCTAGAAGATCGGAAGCGTTGAGGAATTGAGGTTAAAAAGGCATCTATAAGATAGTGAGAAACCCACTCTTTGGCCATGTTGTCTGAGGGAATATTTCAATTACATAGGCCTTTCTGGAACTCCTAAAGCATGGGGTGATACAACTTCTTTTTTTCTTTTTTCTTTTTTTTTTTTTTAAATCTCCCAGACTGTTGTAAATGAGTGAGCTTTGGAGCTTGATCTTTAGTTCTTAAGTTTAAAAATGGTTCACAGAACAAGATCATGTGAGATTTAGGGGCTTACATGCTAATCATAGCATATTAGCCATCACTGCTAGAATCATTTGGGTATGGAATTGAAATATTCTGTACTGTAAAAGAAATATGGAAGAGACATTTCAAAGTTGAATATTTAAAATATTTTGATAATTCATAATATAAAACCAACATGTATTTGCAAACTGTCTTTGTAGTGTTTCTCTTGGGTTATTTTTTTGGGACATATGTGTACAATTAATAAATATTCACCTAATTCGTGCATGTGAAACTTCTGATTAAATGTTTGTAATAGCTGTTTGCTGGTTAGATGCAGTTTTGGAGGTTATAGATGTGACAGCTTTTCATGACAGTAAGAGAATTCCCTTGCAGTTAGGGATGCTGTGCAGATGATGTGGATTTGAATATGAGTAGGAATACTGAAGTTGTTAACTTTTTTCATGTGCTCTATTTGCTTTCTATAGTAAAAACAACCTACCTTATTTTGTGTCATGCCTTCACTGTAGCCTGTCATCCATCTTTTAGAACTTATTAAGAAATTAGAATAGAATAGTTCAGTTGTAAAGGACCTACAACAATCATCTAGTCCAACTGCCTGATCACTTCAGGGAAGTAAATTCAAGTAAAGGAAATTTTAGGATGCTGATGAGGGGGTGAATTTTGGCTTGGAGAAGAAAATACAGCTAGTGAACATTTTAATTGCGTTTCTCTGACATATGATTGTGCTCAGATTATTCATATGTCATAAATACTGTATAAGAAAACTTTATTGATAAACTATGTGCAAGTGATGTGTGAGGCTTGTGATATCTGCTTTGCAAGAGTGAAATTTGGTAATTAAAAGATTATTGGAATTTGTGTAATGTCAAGGAGCTGTTTAAACATTTTTTGCTCTGTGTGAGGTTGGTTTGATGGATGTCTTTTCTGTCCAACTGTAGGGAGTTTCTGCTACTGAGAAAAATTACCAGAACCATAGGAAAAATAATTCCATTTCTGTTTGCAACCTCTCTGGCCTGTTCCTATTATTATCAGAAGGTTCACTGAAGTATTTAAAGAATTGCTCTCTTTTGTTGATCAAGTATTTTACAAAACATTCTGTCTCACTGTCACAGAGTTATGCTATGTGTGAGAGGCTACAATATATAAAGTATCTTTATTTCTGAGTGAAGGAGAAGGTCCATTTTCTGCTAACTGCAAGACTTCCAGTTGCCTCTTTGAGGAGAAACCTAGAAATAACCAGCATATCTGATAATTCTCATTTGAGGAGAGGTTTGGGGTTTTTTTTCTTAGCGGCTCAAAGCTATACTGCTGAAAGTAAACTGTTCTGCAGTTTGTCAACTGACAAAGTGAATGAGGAGATTGTTTTTTAACAGATTGGTTTTATATTTATTGCAGAAGAGCTGAAGGAACACTTGATAGGCGAGCATGCCATTGACAAAATCTTCACTCTGGGGAACTCTGAGTTTCCCATTAGCTGGGACAATGAAGTTAAACTTTGGACATTCCTAGAAGCCAGAGCATCCCTTCTTTTGAAAACCTATAAAACAACTGTGGAGGTAAAATTATCATTATATGTCATTTAAATGTCTGAAATGCTCTGCGTTATGATTGTAGGAAAAGATATTTTGTCCCCCATCTTGTCTTTACAAACATTAATCTGAATGCTAGTACATAATTAGTTCTGTAGTTTTTAATGCATAGAAACAGATTTGCATTATCTAAGGAAAGTCAAATAAGATTGCAAAAAAGAAGATTTTGTTAATGTAATTTTGTTAATGTATTTTTTCTTTGATTCCCCGAGTAGAGGCTACCTGCTTTTTCTCTGCAAGTAAAATGGGGAATTGGTTTCAACTTGTCTCTTAGTTGCATTCTCCAGACTGTGAAGCGATGTGCTACTATTGCAAGCCTATAGCCTATAAGTGAACCTACATTTTTCATATGTTTGTAAAGTCTCTGGACTTTGCTTGTCATGCAGGCTGATCTATGTGGAGAAATTTTTGTCTTCTTTATGGATTTTTGACAAATTTCACTGGGACTCCATTCAGACCTCCTCATTCATATATGTCCATTTGGCTCAGCCTTCAATGTCACTTATTGTTAACACAGAGAGAAAAGTTGAGGGTTTTGTTTTTTGGGTTTTTTTTAATTGTGTTGGTTGTTACTAACAAACTTGCCTTTTCTTTCCGAACAGGATGATAAATCCTTCTTGGAGACCCATGACCTCACTTCACATGCGATAATGGCTATCAAATTGCGCTTAGGTGAAAAAGAGATCTTGGAGAAAGCAGTGAAGAGTGCAGCTGCTAGCCGAGAGTATTATACCAAACAAATGGCAGATGGAGCTCCACTTCCTAAATACGAAGAGAGCAATATTGCCTTGTTGGAGAACACTGTGGCAGACTCTAGACTCCCTATTGTCTTGAGAAACCTAGAAGATGTGGAAGAGCAAGGGGACTTAAAGATTGATGAAGCAATTGATGCTGAAGTCACAGAGAATGGGTTTGTAAATGGTGAAAACTCTCTATTTAATGGGACCAAATCAGAAAGTGAAAATCTAAATAAAGAGAAAAGCAACAGAGAGACTGAAGATGCCAAAGAATCTTCTTCAGAAAGTACTGATGAGGTTAAAGAATAGTCCTAAAATTTTTCTTTCTTGTGAAATTAAATTAGCTGAAGTTTATGAACAGTGCATTTATGTTGGTGTGTTTCTTTGTTAACGTTTCTCTTTCTGCAGAGAAAAATGTTTTTGCTGCTTTATATAAAAATGAATTTTTAAGTTATTTAAAAGATTTAGCATCCCTTTTCAATTAAGATTGCCATCTTGCTTTCAGGCAAAAACTGGGGAAAGAGGTGCCTTTGGAAGATTTTGCAGCCCTTTGTTGAACCAAATGTATTTTCTTCCTGGGGAAGAATTAAGCTCTTCTATCTGCTGTGCTTTTGTTGTTCTGTCACTCTGACTACCGAAATTAAAAGCTTGCTCTGCCTCCTGCCAAGAAAAGCAGAAGGCAGGACTGACTCGGTATTCAGCATGAAGGTGGGAGAGCAGTACAGCAGAAAGCTGGATAAGAGGATCAGAAACTTGGGAGACTGGAGGAAAACCTGTTTAAAATCAGGTATGCCAGTCCAGAAAAAGGTAAGGTGGCAACCTTATGATTGGTAGTTTTAAATGTTGATGAGAATCCAAACTGTATACACTTAAAGTGATCTCTGAAGATTTCAGTTGACTTTGTCTTTCGTTTACTGTATAAAAATATCTCATCTTTCTTCTTCAGTCAGAGTTAGGCTGCTACAATACAACATTCACCAACTTTTAAAGGCTAACTTTCTTTTTTTAATTTCCAGGCAATACCTTTTAGTTACAAGGTTGGCAGAGCTACTGGAGAGTTTGAAAGCAGATAGGCCAAGCCACAGCTTTAAACTGTACTGTTCAAAGTGAGGTTGCTTCCCAGCTTCTTCAGGTTTTCACAACTAGGTAGAGATTTTTCAAAGCTACACTTTTGACGAAACTATTATTAAACGGAAAATATGATTAATATTCCTGTCTGCTACTCCTTCATTTCCGTGTTGTTGGATGTAACATTGAATGTGACATGTTACCTGATCTTACTCAACTTCATTTTTTGGTTAAGATATTAATTGATGCTGCTTTCTTGAAGGAAATGGCAGGCAGGCTAATGTATTTTTGGCTCAAGTCCAGACCACAGCCAAGTCTGCAGTACACTTTGCTATTTAGATTGTGTCTCCATCTGATGCACATTTCTTGGGATACCTCCACATGTTAAGCAGGTCTACTGTCTCCAGCAGTTTTGGTCACCCTCATACTATATGTTTTAACTTACAGGTGGAAACAGTAGAATCCTATAACAGTGCAATATCTGAGCAAGGGTAATTCCAAGGCTTGACTTTGAAATTACCTGGGTACTGGGAGGAGAGGAGGGCGGAATATTTTTATTTTATGGGTGAATGGAGAGGAGTATACAGTGATTTAATTCTGTTCTTAATGTTAAGGACTTGTCTTTTACCTTTGTATCCTTAAGTTTAAGATAATGCATAGAATGGACAAGCTTGGACATTTGTTTAAAGCTCAACAGATGTTGCAACCTGCTCATCCAAGATCAGTTGCAGTAAAATATCTTATGGCATATTCATAGTTTTATTAGATTTTGCTTCTTTTATACTGCAACTTGGAATATGTGTTTTTGCATAAATATTTGGTGCAATACACATGATAAGTAGTTACTGACTTTCAGGTTGTCATAGCAGTTTTGGTGTTCAGCTAGTATCAGTGTGGGGAAAATAGAAAAAAATAGTTTTTTAAAAAATATTTCACTAAGAATGGCACATTGCCATTGCACCTTGGATATTGCTTCACCACTAACAAGATGCTGGACCAGTATTTTTGTAACTATATGCTGCCTTTGGTAGAATGTTATGAATTGTTGTCTTGACAGTTTAAATGTCATACAAAAGTCATTGCATTTCAGTTTTATTAGGACCAATATTCCATTTCTGTTTCTGCCACTTACATTGCACAACATTGTATTAGATACTGTGATGCAACTCTGAAACTAGCCTTCCCTGAAAATTATAACTGTAACTCGGAATTTAAACGCTTTGGTTCAATCCGATACACTGTATTTTGTTCCAGTATTTGCTAATATCTGTGGCTTAGCAAAGCCTGTGGTCACCACAGGACAGAATGTGTGGGGTTTCTTGAATAAAATATAGTTCTACCATGTCTTCCCTAGTGAGTGTATTATACAAACAAAACCTCTACCTGCTACCAACTGCTGTATCTTTTGGGGTCTGTGGGGAGAGGAATAACTGTTCAGGTGTACAGATGAAGATTAAAGGAGAAATAGCTGGAAGAAAAGAAAAAGAAAAAAAAAAAGAGGAATTCTAGTAAACAGAAATGGAAAGGGGTCTATTAAGCGGAGGGATTCTAGTAAACAGAAAGGGAAAGGGGTCTATTAAGCGCATGGTCAAATTCTTACTCTTCATCTGTTAGTGTTATTTAGAAAAATATGTTGCACACAATAAAAATAGTGAGTAATCTAATTTTGTAATTTGCATTTTTCCTCTATGCATGTAATGGTTTCTCAGAAGCACTAACCTAAAACTTAAGCTTTTCAAAACTGAGGTGGAAGCAAAAAAATTGGCACTGATGAGCCCTTATTACCATCTGTCATGAAAACAGACCTTTCAAAGCATTTTAAAGTTAACTTTCTTCATAATGTTTGGTTAAGAGGCTGTTCACACTAATCCCAGGCTAAATGCCAAATCTTGCTTCTGTTTAGCTAGCTATCTGAAGCATTCCTGTAAGAAAGACATCACTTGGATTTCTCGGACTGTTCTCCAAAAACAAAACAGGGGGAAAAAAAAAAAAACTTTTGAATTTTACATGAACCTACCTACTGATGCATCGTTTCCCTAACAACCTATAACTACTTTGGCTCCATACTGCAAAATGATGTCCGCAAAGCCCTGTTGATAAAGTCAAACATGCAAAATTGAGCAACAATCCCTACGGGGAAAAAATGCTTGAAAAGTAGATAAATGCAACCTTAGCTAAGTGCTGTCATGAGTAAATGAGAGCTGAGAGCCTTCTGGCTGTGGAGGTAAGGTGGTTTAGGATCCTTGGCTAAAATAAGTTGTGTTTTAGCATCTTGGCTAAAACAAAGTATTCCTTCCTTTGAACACTACTAAAAAGTGATATGTATAGAAAATCTGTGCAACTCAACAGTATCGGCATTCTTGGGGCTAGTCTGCCTTTAGAGAGGAGAGATCATCACGGAGTCATGGAACTTGGATGGTTCAAAGGTACATTAGAAGAGTTTGATTACACAAACTGTACTTCTCTAGTTCACATGTTTAGAAACAGTATTTATTATCTGCAGCTGCCACTTCTATCATGCTTTTTTTAATAGAAGGACATGTGGAGTAATAATGAAATGTGATTTGACGTGTTTCAGTGTGACACAACAAAATGGCTTCCAAACCCCCCTGTTCTTTTCTGATTTTATGGACTGAAAGTCAGTCCTTGCTGTTTCTTGCACTCTGTGCCAAACAGGAGTGTTTAGACAAAACATTGCTTTACCAAATATATCTGATGGAGCATCCTTTTTCTCTAGATTTTTCACTGATCTGTGTTGAATTCAGATATCACACAATTTTCACATAATTACCGTCTATATTTAAATAGTTTCTAACACGCTTCCTTCTTCAAGTGCATTGCTTGCTGTACAAAGTACAGCACATAAATTGGTGACTCACAGTTAGAAGAGTTTCCTTAGCATTTCTCGGTTTCTGCATCTATTTCCTAACGAATGCCACCAAGTTTGGAAACCGTGTGGTGGATTTTTCAGTTAAATAAATCTCAATCCATACTTAAGAAAAAAGCCACAAATGGTCCTGGATTCTTTTTGGCTTTGTCTCCTTAGGTTCACTGGTGTATTCAGTGTATTTCAAAGCTGAATTAATGACTGCTATAAAGTTAGTGTAGATGACATAAACGAGCTTTAGTAATACAAATTAAATCTTAATTTGTTTAGTGAAAAACAGAAATTGAAATTTTGCCAAATGCCAAAACACCTATCCTATGGTATCAAGCAGAAACCAGCTTAGTTTTTTTCATTTTTTGTAGCCTTTTGCTGAATATGGGGTGCTCTAGTACTTAAACTTCTGGATTATCAGTAACAGGCTTTGAAATATGCTTGAAGAAGCTTTGTGAATAAGTTTTGTGTAGTGACATACATTGAGTGGTATATGGTACTCATGTACTTCAAACAAAATGTGATTTTTGCCTTATAAGCTGTCTTTAGTCATTAACAATTATCTTTATTTTCAGTGTATGTAGACGTCAAAATTTAGTTACAAATGAATTATTTTTTTTTTTTTTTTATATGAACTGGACCTTGCAGTTTACAAAAGCAATAAAGTTGGTCATCAGTGTTTGCACTGCCTGGAAAGTGTTGCATAGTCTGTACTGGAATGGTTGAAAAACAGAAAGCATTTGACTTCTGCCTTCATATCTTATGCTAGGAAGCCTTAACAGTTGGAGCTGGTGCCATTTTTCATCATGAAAGATTAAGCTAGATAGGGGAAGAAAGCAAGGAGATTCCCTTTCTTATGTGGAAATGAAAGCTGGACAACCGAACACTGGCGAGCTTCTTTCAGAGGCAGGAGTTGCTATCCTGAAGAACAAGATCTTTTGGAATTATTTCAGTGAGTGTTCAAAAAAAACAGTATCTCCAATTTATACTGTCATTACTGTGGATTTTTAATTTCACAATTAGACAATGGCTTCACTTTCCCTAGGGACAAGTGAAAACATATGAACTACAAACTGTTGTCATGTATTAAACTAGCAGTGAAGAATGGCTGTAAGTGACTGCTTGCCTTGCTGCCAGTGCAGTGCTGAGGGTAACCTGAGTGAAGTCTGACGTGGACTCACTGTTGTCCATTAACTTGGTCCTCTGCCATTAGAAGACTGCTCAACACCGAAGGGGTAAGGAAAGGCTTATGTGTCCAGCATGGAAGGATTGGATAAAGCCACAGAGAGCAATAAGAAAGTAGAAGATAGTGTTTTATTCAGGACACTCACCTGAAACATAATGTGTCCAGACTGAGGGACCTTCCTTTGTCCACATATTTCTATGTATAAGACTATTTTATTGTATGAAGTTGGTTAAGCACAGAAGAGGATTTTGAACCTTAGTCTTCCATCTTCCAGGTGATTCATTCTGTTGACGGTGCTCTGAACTCTTTCTGTATTTCTGATTTTTATTATTTAAAGATTTTTGGGTATGTCCATGAAGATTTTTTTTTTAACTTAATTTGGAGAAACTAGACAATCATTTTCCAATTAAATCCAGTTCAGACATGGCAAAATAAGTAATGCTGACCACAACTTGTGCCTTTGAGCAGCTTAACATGATTTGGAGTGAAACAGACCTGTAGCCCTTTGAGACTTGACTTTGCTTCTTCAGAAAGTTGTTTAAAATCTGCATGAAGGTAGGGAATAAAATCTTGCATGTGTGAGCATTGCTGATTTCCCAGCTGAATCACCATTACTTATGCACAGATTCAGACACCAGTAGAATTAGATAATTGAACCTAAACACTTAGTATTTTATTTAATATTAAGCATATATTGTTCTTGAAAAATGGGCCAACTTGACAGCCCTGAACACATAAATCATTTGTCCCTTGAATAGAATCAACAGGAGCAAAAATGAAGTTTCCCTCTAGGATCCTATGTGTGGCAATACCAAGAGCATCTCGACTGCACCGTGGTGCCTTGTTTCACTTACAGATGTTACTGGCCAGGTAGCCTCTTACTTTGTGTCAGGCTGGGGCCACTTACTCATTCCCTAGATGCCCTTGCTCTCCACAGAAGAAATCCTGGCTGTCCTGATCAGTTCATCTGTGTTTGACATGGTCCGTGGAAGTCAGTAGGTTTCCGTTGTGCTGCCGACTTGGATCCCTGCAAATGGAGTTTTGTTTTTTAGCTTTCTTTTTGTGAATGCTGTTTGATTTAAATATTCTTCAGTTTATTGTCATATTTACAAAAGTTGTCTGTTTTTCCTGTGTAAGGCTGAAATCTGGGAACTACGTAGGTGTCCTGCATCCCACAATTGCTTTATGGTATGGGTTAAGGCAAATTCATTTCCCTTTGCTTTATTCCATGCTGGTTCACCACTTTCAGCGCTGTTAGTAACTCAGCCAAGGCTCCTAATTTCAGCACTAATAAGTGGGGTTGTATACAGATTTGTGGTCCAAAGGTATGAATAATGTGCCTCACAACTGAAACAGACATGCACAAACAGCCTCCTATGAACTGCAAAGGAATTTTTAGATTAACTTGAATATCTGTAAGAAAGCCCCACTGCCTTGCAGCAATTAATTCAAGTGATTGGATGCTAGGAATGGTTTATTATAATTGCACACAGGTAGTAATTTATTAGGGTGGCTGTTTCTTTTGGCATATGTCAAGAAGGTCAGAGTTTAGACTTTTTTGGACATTAACCTAGTCTTCTGAAACTCTGAAGTTCCACTTTTTGGTCATTAATTTCATACATGCTGAGATTGTGACAATTAACCCACTTAATAAAGGTCAAGTTTCAATTTTTTCCAATTTCTGGAACACTTAACTTTATTCCTTCTTGAAAATGGGCAGATACAGAATGATAAATAGTTATTAAATGAGAACGAAGATGTAGTTCTGCTGTCAAGATACTATTGAGCGGTTAGTAACAAAAGGACCAGAACTGCTGTGGATTTGAAGTGAAAGGAATAGGGTAAAATGGTCTACAGAAAAATGAAAAAGCATAGATCACAGTAAGCTGTTTAAAATAATTTCTACTAACATCCCTGTTAACTTACTCTACCTTAGCTTCTAATTATGCAAATCCATAATTTGTCCCTTTAATTTTTTTCACGTATATGTGTGATTTTTCCCACAGCTCTAAAGCAGCATCTAACCACAGGTGACAAGCATAAACAAGCAAAGTGAATAAGGAAATGGTGGTGATGTTTTCAGATGACCAAAGGCTAGTTATACTGCATTTTAATCATACCTGGATTTCAATGAGCCACAAGATTAAATAATAAGCCATTGGTTCTGTGCAGTGGCATCAGTTTTTAAAGGATACATTGATATGTTGGGTCGCTTAGGGTTTCACTTCAAAATTAGAACTGAACTATGTTGTCATTTTTGAAACCTCTGAAAAGCATCC